CTCTGAGAGAGCCATTCTTTTGAACTTGGACCCCAGGGTCCATGTATATTGTGGTTACTCATTAAATCCTTATCTCTTATAAACTCTTTTCACGAAAGACTTTGATGAGGCTGGCACTCAGTCATCCAGCCCTGATCCATTGCTGGTGTAGTTCGCATCGGGCTGCCTTACTTTATCAGGCTGGTTTCGCTCTAGTTTTGGCAAAAGGTTTTACTTTAAATTTGGCTTTCCACATTGAAGCATGGATGCTTAATTGGTTTACCCATTTTGCGTGTTGGGGACACATACATAATCAGATCTTTGGCACACTAGCAGTATTGTGTTATCAATACAAGTAGGTCATTAGGGGCTCCCTAAAGAAAATTTTACGTAGGAAACAAAGTTGGAGCAACTGTTGATTTAACAGTTCTACCAGTGTTTTTATACATTGAAAGAGCATGGAGAAGACTCCCGGGATAAGCACGCAAGCACGCACACTGAGAATAATAGCCAGTGTTCCTGAGTTTTTACCGTGTCAGGTGCTGTTGTAAAGGCTTCATGCGTGTTACTCAGTCTTGGCATCAGCTCGAGGGAGCGAGTCCTGTTCCTAGCCTCGCTGTGATGAGGTGTCTTCTCTCACTCCAGGTCACGAGGTGGAGAGGTGGCGGGCCTGAACGTGAGGGCTCCTCTGCAGAGTGCACGCACTCACCCATCTCTGCATGGCCCGTCGTAGAAGCGTTGCTACCACCACTACGCTTTGGGGAAGGTGGGTTCCTGTCCCCACCACCCCTCCCTGACTGCCGTGTCCCCTAATTCCCTCATCACTCGCTGTGGCTGGCCTTTCCTCGGCCTCACGCTCGCATTTCCGTCTCCCCCTGCACCCCTCGTTGCCCCCAGTGTGAAGACTCCCGGAGCTGGTGTATGCGGTGTCCTGCACGGGTCCTGCCCCTCCCTGCCCGTTCCCCCACATGCAGTCTTGTTGCAGCCATTCTAAACTCCCTTCCGTCCCTCGGCTCTGCTGCCAGGGCCTCCCTTTCTGCAGGGCTAATTCACAACCTGTTACAGCAACACCCGTAGTCCGATGGCAGCTGCCCTAAGCCCTGGCCCTGTTGGCTTTCACTCTTCATCTTTCAGCCCTCAGCTTGGAAGGCCTTTCATCCAGAGGCTTCCCTAAGCCCCAGGTCTGTAGGGTGCCGCCCTCCTGTGCTTCCCAGGGCACCCTCACTTCCTTGTCCTAGGACTTTGTTCTCTCTCACACCCGCCCGCTGTGTAGATCCCTCCTCAGGTGACAGCCACATTCAGGTAGGGGTCACGGCTGACGTGTTGAGCCCTGTCACGTGAACGCACCTGTCACAGTGTGGTGAAGACTGTGGTAAGGGATGAACGAGCAGCAGCTCAGTAGTCACAGTGGAGGGAGCAACAGCAAGTCTCAGGGATGCGCACCCCACGCGGCGTCAGAGCTCGAGTCTGTGGGGCTGGCCGTGTGGCTCACGTCTCCTGGTGGGGGGCGTGCCTCGACTTTCAGGTGTGGCTTCGGCTTCATGCATGCCTCTGTTCAGCTCAGCCTGTAGCTCTTCCCGTCGGCTGGCTCAGCCTCTTCTCTGCGTTAGTTGTCACACCTCCAGGAGAGTCCCCTTCACTTGCTCTTGCAGGTCTGGGGCTGCGTGGTGGGGGATGCGCGGTCACCTGACTGGGGACTCATCCTGGGGTTGAAAGAACCCAGAGCAGGGCCTCTCTGGCCACCCTGGCTTTGCCCTCCCTGGGGAAGCCTCACCCCCAGGGAGCGGCAGCCTGAGGCAGGGGAGTGCTGAGATGCCAGCATCTTGCAGGGAACGCTCTTCTAAGGTCATGGTCAGCTACAGACATAACAGAAGACCTCTCTCTGCTGTGGTAGCTCCTCACGCCCTACCTTCCTCCTCCCTCCTCCTGCCCCCCTCCCCCCCCCATGGCCCTCTGCAGCAGCACCGAGTGCCTGCCCTCCCAGCTCTTCCCCACCTGCTGCCCCGATGTCTGCTGTGCAGTCAGGGGAGAGCCCATTAGAGCAGCCCCAGGGAACGGGCCTTTCCAAGCTCTACCAGCATGGAGACCCCATGACAGGTCAGAAGTAGAACTTTCTCTGGTTAGCTCACAGAGGTTGTGGTTTTGTTTTTTGTTTTGTCTTAATTTTTTTTGTTTATTCATTTATTTTGAGAGAGAATACAAGCAGGGAAGGGGCAGAGAGAGAGGGAGAGAGAATCCCAAGCAGTCTCTGTCCTGTCAGTGAGGAGCCGAGCCAGACATGGGGCTTCATCCCATGAACCGTGAGATCAAAACCTAAGGCACAATGAAGAGTCTGATGCTTAACTGGCTGAGCCACTCAGACACCCCAGAGATTCTTTGACTCTCCCAAAGCAAAATGGCATGTGGGCTCAGTGTCATCTGTGATGGAGCTGGAGGAATTCATACACATGTGCTTTTACTCCTCTGTCAAATTCTGGTTCATGCTTCCGTTTCTTTATTTCTTTTCTTTCTTGCTTTCTTTTCTTTTCTTTCTTTTCTTTTCTTCTCTTTTCTTTTAGTTCATGCTTCTTTTTAAAGTTTGTAAATGTATTTTGTTATGAATGTGATTGATCCTGGACATTGTGTGTTTTTGTTGAAGAAAAAAACATCCGGAAGTTCAGACCTTAGTTAAGAGTGAGCATTTTTTTGGTCCGACTTCAACTCAGGTCATGATCTCACGGTTCGTGGGTTGGAGCCCTGCATCGGGCTCTGTACTGACAGCCAGCTCAGAACCTGGAGCTGTTTCGGATTCTATATTTCCCTCTCTCTGACCCTCCCCTGCTCATGCTGTCTCTCTCTCTCCGAAATAAATAAAACATTAAAAAAAAAAAAGAGTGAGCATTTTAGGGTCTCCTTTGGGGTCACTGCCTGAAGTTACTTATCTCAGGCTTTGGATTCCTGCCTGTGACCTGGCTGTGTGCTGGGATTTCTCTAGGTGTTTCCAGGGCTCATGTAAATTCTGAGTCTCAGAACAGGTGACTTGAAAACACCACATAGTATTTTTATCAGAGGGTAGGTAGACAAAGATGGAGTGAATGGTGAAATGGCGGCCTAACCATGAAATGATGAAGGACAATTGATTCAGTAATCTCTAGGTTATTGAATTAATTTTTAAAAAGTATTTATTTATTTATTTATTTACTTACCTACTTACTTATTTTAGAGGGTGAAAGAGAGTGCAAGCCAGGGAGAGAAGTAGAGGGAGAGAGAGACTCTCAAACAGGCTCCATCCTTGGTGGGGATCCCATTGCGGGGCTCTATTCTACAACCCTGGGATCATCACCTCTGCCAAAATTGAGTTGGATGCTCAACCAGCTGAGCCACCCAGGTGCCCCCACTAATTATTTTTATTTGTTAATGTTTATTCTTTTTGAGAGAGAGAGAGAGAGCAAGCAAGCATGAGCAGGGGAGGGGCAAAGAGAAAGGGAGACAGAATCCAAAGCAGGCTCCAGGCTCTGAGCTGTCAGCACAGAGCCTGACACGGGGCTCGCATCCACGTGTAAGCCAAAGTCAGATGCTTAACTGAGCCACCCAGGTGCCACCCAGCTAATTTTCTTTAAAAGTAATCTCTACCTCCATTGTGGGGCTTGAAGTCACAACCCCAACATCAAGAGTCACATGCTCTACTGACTAAGCCAGCCATATGTTGCCCCCACTTTCTTTAAGTAATTAAATAGTTTGAAAGCATTTATTAAAATGTACTGAATGTAAGTACCTGTGTGGGTTTAAGAGTGTAGACACTTCACCTCTTGATCAAATCTTTGCATAGTGCCTTTCCATTATCATCTTCTGCTGGAGCTTAAAACTCTCCCAGACAGGGACCTGGTCTGTTCCTGATTTTATTCTCTAGGTACAGCGTACCCTACTCCTACAACAAATGGATTTTGAACAAATTACATACATTTCCCACTCCTTTTAACAAATTTGCAGTCTCGTTAAATTTCAGTAAGGACTAACAGTGGATTCATTTAAATAAAGTTTGCTTCCTTTTCAGAAATTGCTTGAGTTCTGTCTGCTCCTTAGTATTTTCCCAGCAGATAGTTCTTCTGAATACCTGGAGCAGGGAGCTACCTGCCCGTTAGAGCTACTTCATAGCGTGGCATACGTTTGTGTGTTATTTCAGTCTGTAATGAGAATTGTAAAGATGTCAGTTAATTGTCCATTTAACTGACTTTTTTTTTAATGATGATTTTGTGAGAGAATTACATTCTCATGGAGTACAGCCTGACAGAGCTGCATGTTCTAGATCCAACAGAAGACTGATACTTGATAATCTGAATCAAGGGTGGTTTTAGTTACCCTCGTTGGTGCACATTATGGTCTCACTTTTCATGGCAGGTTTGCAATCCTGACATGATAAAACGGTCCATATTCTAGATAACCCTTACATAGAAACCAATCAAACAAGTGTGTAGGGTGGACTGTCAGTCCGCTCGGCTGCCGTCATAAAGCGGTCATGTGACCCTTTCATGAAGGAACTTTTTTTTTTTTTAAATGTTTTTTATTTATTTCTAAGAGAGAGAGAGACAGCGTGAGCAGGGGAGGATTAGAGAGAGAGGGAGTCACAGAATGAAACAGGCTCCAGGCTCTGAGCTGGCAGTCAGCACAGAGCCCGACGCGGGGCTCGAACCCACGAACCGCGAGATCATGACCCAAGCGAAAGTCGGATGCTTAACCGACTAAGCCACCCAGGCGCCCCATGAAGGAACTTTTTAATGCTCGTTTCAGCCCCCAAGGGGAAATGCCCAGCCAAAGTTCAAAGACAACGTGATATAAGTAAGTGGTGTGTCTTGGAGGCAAACGTTCTCCCTGGAGTCAGTGCGTCTCTGAAAAGATCACGAAAATCAGTAGTAAAATATGACATTCATATTTTCACTTTACTCTCCACTTTTCAGGAGCATGTCCTGCATAGAGAGCAAGATCGAGCTGCGTTTCAACCAACGGTGGTTTCCATCTGTGCTGATTGTAATTTTTATCCATAGGTTTGAAGACATACCTGATAGCGGGTCAGAGAGCGAAGGAGTCTCATTGCAGCTGTTCAGAGGCCTTGCTTTCTGGCTTTGAGGTCATTGACGGCTCGCGGGTGTCCTCAGGCCCTAGGGGACAGGGGACAGCATCGCCAGGGAGTGTCAGTGACTTGGCGCAGACTGTCAAAACCTTTGATAACCTTAAGGTTAGTTTTTTTTTTTTTCCTACTTCTTAAACTTTGTATTAATTCTGCAGTAGAACATGTGAAATGATAAGCAGCCTTTGGGTCTGTGGCAGACGACATGGAATGCCCTGCAATTTGGTTTTTGTGATTTTTAAATTTAGTCTGAAGTCACCAGCATTTTGCATTTTTTAATATCTTTGCTTTTTTGACATATTACGCACCTCCATTTTCTTTCTACGCTGCATCAATTTGCTTCTTACTCGAGTTGTTATTTTCTTTTTCTGAGACCTATGCTGTCTTCTGGAATATCTGAAAGCTAATGATAAACAACAGTAAAGGGGATTCTTCTCACATCTTCCTTGTAGAGCTAGTTTGTATCCCACTGCAGACACTGTTTTCTCAAGTGCTCCTCTGTCTCTCGAAATCCAGTGTCTGAGGATTATTTTAACTTTTGTTGCTATGGGTGAATCTTGTGGCGTATCTCACCTTCAGAGTGCAGGCTTGCCAGGAACGTTATAATATTTCACTGTTGGAATAGAGCCCTCTTGGCAGCTGTCCAGAAGTGCCCGTTTCTGTCATAATAAACTACCCCGGGATTAACGTGGCGGATGGACCGTGGGCATTTGAAACCATTCCAGCTTATAAACTGCTCCTCAGCTTCCACATTTCATTTCATTTTCCCTACTGGTATCTCTGGTTCATTTACAGCTGAAATATTTTCGGTTTCCATTTAAAAAAAAGAAGGAGAGAGAGAGGGAGGGAGAGAACGAGAGGGAGGGAGAGAGAGAGAGGGAGGGAGGGAAGAAGAGAGAGGGAGAGGGGGAGGGAGGGAGGGAGAGAGAGAGAGGCACTGATAACAGTTGCACCTCACTGTGTAGTTGTACCCTCAAACAGGTCAGGATGATGGCCTGGTGCTATGGCTTTAATCCAGTGTGTCCCTGCTCGTCCACGTTCACTTAGTGCTTTGAGAGCTAATTCCGAGGGGACTACAATGTGGGCGTCCAGGTCCTTTCCCTCTGCCAGAATCCCTAGTCCCTGCCATCCAGTTATGTTGTGTGATTGTTGTGCTCAGTGTTATTAACAGTACTCTGGTATCATTTTTCTTGTGTGCTTTGTTAAGTTAACGCGGGGTTTTCCATCCACAGCAGTGGGAACATTTCGGGCCATCTTGTGCCCATGGGATGTTGAGCAGCATCCCTGGCCTTCACCCACCACATGCCAGGAGCGCCCTCTCCTCCCATTATGGTGACCAGAATGTCAGACAGTGCCCAGTGACCCCTGAGGGGTGAGGGAGGGTGAAATCCCCTCTGGATGAGGACCCGTGGGGTAGGGTGTGAGACCCGACCCTTCCCCGGATGCTCTGGCACGTGTGTGACAGCTAATGTATCCAATATTTCCTTAATGCCTGCACACTTTGAAGATAGCCTCTTTGTGTGGGGCGATGATTTGCAGCAGTCAGAAAGGAGAGCTTCAGCTCATGGGCCGTCCCTGCATGCAAGAAGGGGGGAGAATTTGAGAACACGGTTTTCCAAGTACAGTTTCATTATTTGGAGAGAAATTATTTCCTCCAGGCTTCAAACTGAACCGCACTTAAATAGACCAATAGAACTCAGTTCCAAAAATGCATTATTTGTTGTGTTTGCCTGATGTGTTAGATTATGTGTACGTGTGTTTCTATCCATAGCACATAACTTCCAGTTTTAGCAACAGCGATTCACTGCTAAATTACCCTAAAAAGGTTTTCTCTTATCCCAAAAGAACGTTTCTTGTTCTAGTTATATGTATATAGTTACAGTTAGGGATTTAAGTATCTTTATTTTTTAAATCTGGATAGACAAAAACTACTTAGCGTATTCTGTTGCTGTGTATAAATTTTCCAAATAATCATTGAAAGTCTTCTGAAAATCTTGTGATCTATTAACCTTGTCTGACAAAGGGAATTTGGGTGGGGGCAGGGGGAGATCTCTGTGCCCCTTCCAGGAAGGAAGGGCGGACCAGCTGGATCTTGAAGTGTAACTTCAGGACATGTTGATGGTGCAGACAGGGTGACGGCGTCTGAGTCGAGGGCGGTCCACGCTCCGTGTGGAGAGGGGGACAGCGCAGTCTCCCCTCCAGGCCTTGCCGCTCTGGGCCCGCGGGGCACAGTGTCGCCCCGCTGCTTCGGGTTGTGTGGGATCATGGGAGAGCAGGCCTCTGTGAGTGCCTTGCAAACAGTGAGCGCTGGGTGCCTGAGGGAGTCCTTAGAATGATCGTCCCCGAGCCAAAGGACAGAACACTGAGGTCGGCTTGAAGGATTATATACATTCTAATAGAACATATAAGGCCTTCCCTAGAATAAGTTTTTGCACAACAGAAAAAATACCAGCTGCTCGCTCATAGGTTCTTGGGGCGGGTTTGCCCCGCACACCAGTCGGTACCTCACACGCGTCGTTGGTTTGTTGACTTACGTGGTCTGCACTACGGTCGGGTTTTCTGTTTAGCTGGAAGCACTCGCTGGTTCTTCCTCCTCCTTTGCCGGGGTGTCGACTCTCCCTGCGAGTGCACTTCTTCCCTACGTGGCCGCTGCCGCCTCCTCCAGTGAGCGGCAGCCCCCGTGTAGGTTTCTGTCACCGTCCCTGCATCTCCCTGCCCGGCGTGGGAAGCCCCGGCTCGCTGGAGGGGCCTGTGCCCAGGCAGTATGTCCTTTGAAAGTACCTTCCCTCAAGCAGTGGTTTCTCAGGCCAGAAATAGGCGTCAGGTATGCAACGGCGTTCTGTGGTCACGTAAACCTGCACGTGACAGAAAGGGTCTCTGTTCCCCAGGGCTGCTTGGAGCCTCCAGTGCTCACAGCCACGTTAGGGCCTCCAGAGAGTGATGCGGAGGCTGTGCTCTCAGGCCTTCGTGACCACAGACTTTTTTCAGGCCACACTTTTGGGAGGAATGACTATCTAGTGAGAGGAGTTTCATGAAGGAACCAAGAAATTGGGGAAGGGTGTTGAGCCTTCCTCAAGTGAAAGCACGCACCTGTCACCCGCGGTGCTCCTCATGTCCCTTCCCTCTGGGCTTCTCTTCCTCGCCCCGGGTGACAGAACCACAGCTTCCTGTAGCCCCCCTGGCTAACAGTGCTTTCTCCCCATCTCCAAATCCATGGCCCTTCCAGCTGTAACCTTCCTGTTTACTTGTCTCTTGGGCAGCTTCCTGTGAGTTCTCTGAATGCAGGAGGGCCCCGAGTGTCAAGTAACTTGTGCTTTTCCCAGGTGTGCAGTCAGGCATGTGGTAGATAATTATAATTTTCTTTTGGCTTAAGTTTTTAATTCTTTTTTAAAGTTTATTTATTTGAGAGAGAGCACACGACGAGGGGAGGGGCAGAGAGAGAGGGAGACAGAGGATCCCAAGCAGACCCTTCGCTGTCAGCACAAAGCCCCATGTGGGGCTTGAACTCAAGAATTGTGAGATCATGACCTGAGCTGAAATCAAGAGTCAGTTGCTTAAATGACAGCCACCCAGGTGCCCCAAGTTTTTAATTCTTGAATGAGACACAGAGAGCTGTAGCTCTGCGGAGCGGGGCCAAGTAGGACCGCACTGGGAAGCCCGGGCAGGACTGAATAGACGAAGGACAAGAGGGGACAGATCACTGCTTGGAATTGCCCCAAGGAGTCACTGACTCTCTGAGGAAGGTCTTCCCTTCTCTGTATGTTCCTACTTGAGGGAGGATCTTCACATTTCACCGTAGGGGATGTAAGCATGTCACAAATGTGACATCGGAGCAGGAGCACCTTGGCCTGTTCAGTGTGACCTGAGCTCTGCACTGGATGTCTCCTACTCCTTCTCCATGAATGCCGTGGATGATGGATGGATTGAGACTACACATGACAATAAAAATAGCTGCTCTGACGTCTTCGCAAAGAACAAAAAAACGAAAATCAAAATGTGGATGGTTTTTTATCACATCAGTCTTAACTAGTGAACTGCATGAGCTGTGAGAGCATCTTAGTGTATCTCTGAAGGCCCTCGCTGGAAAGACATGTGCTCGGCTGGTCTCTGTGAATTTAACCTTAATCTGTTATTTAGAACCCTGGGGCTGGGGCTGCATGCTCATGGGCATTTCTGCGTGTTCACAGTCAGTAATGAGGCTGACGATGTGAATTTGCCTACGTGGGGGCACTTCAGGGAGGATCTGCCCTGTTTTCAAAAGGGTAATACTTTCCCTTTGAGGTCACTAGCTCCAGGGCCCATCCTTCTGTGGCAGTCAGTGAGACTTTTTTAATGACTCTAAATAAATGATCACTCTTTTATGTCCTTATTGTTTGTAATCATTATGAATAGGCTCCATGGGCTCAGTGTGAGGTAACAGCTAGCCTGTTAGATCATTCTAGAGATGGAACAGGTAGTATCTGTCTATCTATAGTTTGGACACTACGTATTTATTATAAATGGTGGTTTAATTGGTAGTGGTGATGGTTGCACAATTTTGTGAATATACTAAAATCCACTGAAATATGTACACTTTAGATGGTATGTAAACCCTGTCTCCATAAAACTCATAAAAATAAATAGTAGTCTGACCCCAAAATGTGAATATGAAGTAAGTTTTTTTCAAAAAAAGATGTCAGGTTGTGTCTACATTTCCAGTCATGCGTGTTTCCTTCCATCAGGGGGAAACCTGTCCCATGGAGGTTGGCAGCTCTTCCTCACAGAAGAGGTCCAGCTGAGGGAGAGAGAGAGAGCCATCACTGGGACACCGCCCTAGTATTTGCTGCAGGCAGGGTCCCTCAGTGAGCTCTAAAATTAGTGGGTGGGTGTTTAAGGAGAAACAGGATATTTGCACAGCCTCCAAGCACCTCCACCCCCAATATTTATTGATTACAAAGAGAAGAATCGTAACTCCATGGTGGAAAACCTGGTGGGCCCTGCCTCACTGATTGAGGAAGCCTGGCATCCCTATTAATAAGGCTCTCAGTGTCATGTGCATGCCCCCTGCCCCGCACCCCGCCCCCTCCTCCCGCCATGTGATGTACTGACAAGGGCACATCACCTCTGCG